GACCGGTCCGCAGTGATAAAAAGGTTGGGGACCGCTGGTCTACAAGACTCAAATCTTATAATTCTCCCCTTTGACATGATTTTATCATGTCACAATCAAAAACGATGGTGACTTACAACCTGTATTGGAGGACCGACCTGAATGCCTGAGACAAATCAGTCATCTAACCAAAGGGAGCATAGGCCCCCTTTTGGAGTCTCAATGTAATGTAAACATGTCTTCACTGCTAACATACAACACTGTGTTGCCAAAAGCGTCCGTCCACCTGCCTTCTCATGCAAAGGAGCATGAGTCACCACCGATTCTTGACCCCTAGGGTCCACATTGGTGCTGGCCCACTCTCTGCAGTTAAAACAGCTTCCACTCCTCTGTGGAGATTGTCCATGGAGTCCAGGAGTGGGAGGCTGTTCAAATGTCTTGGTATGTTGAAGCCTCAAGAGTCCTTGTCACTGGATCTAAGAGACCAAGCACAGTTCCTGAGAAGTAATTTCACCTAATAAGCCGATGCTCTGCATCGCATTCGATGCTGTTGGTGTGGATGTAGCAGTTCAACCGTGGAGCCCCCTTTCAGGGAGTTCTCCATGTCCCGGGGTAGGGCCACTCTGCAGGTCACATGAAGTGTCAGGACCAGACCCACTGCGCCAGTGGCATCCCATCATGGCACCAGGCTGGAGTTTGTTGAGATCCTGGGAGCGGCTGATCCTTTCACAACTGTCTGTAGAAGCTGGATGCATGCCTGGGTGGTTGATTGCACCCGTAGCTACTGTTAGGAATTTTTAGTAAGATAGATATTGGTTAGATACTTTATGTATTAGAAATGTTTAGTGGAGATAGGATGTCTAGTTAGACTGTTAAATGCTTAGTCATGCTTATGAGTTTCTACAGGGTACATCTGGTCAAGGATACCTAGAGAGAAAAGTTGATGACTGTCAGCAGACAGGGTGTTTAATATTATTATTACGACATGTATAACTGTAGCCTTAGCCATATTATTTTCTTATGTTTAATGTCATGACATGTCACTAGAGGTTGTGTGAGAATGTTTTTAGTTACACACCACTTAATCAACAGACATACACACATTGATTTGCTTCATGTTTTGACTACTGCTATGGCCAGCTGCAAAGCTGGCACCAGAGACATCGCGGTTGACGTTCCTGTGTAGTATGGGGCTAGCCAAACCGAAGAGATAAATGTATAAGCCTGGTTTGGTTCAGGGTGTTTCATCTTTCATCTGCCTGCGTGCAGTTTGGAGGTGCAAGATGCCTGAGCGTGTAATGTTAATTTTTGCCTGTGTTCATGGAATAAATCAGCACCATGGCATATTTTTATAAAAATGCCTGAGTCAAACAAACACACCCAGTGTACACCAAGCACAATCAGAACACATAATGTATTATATTATATTGTCAGAACATTAATTACATCCACAGCCTCATTGAACCCTGTACATATTTACTCTGTCCAGTGTGTCATATGGGATGAATAATTATAAATCCATTTCATATTCTTAAAGAATTCATGGGGAAGGAGGATTACTTAGGTATTCAACATTTCATTTCAGATACTTTATAAGGCAAGGAAGAAAAACAGACACATAAAATGAAGTTAGATTTCAGCTTTATTTAGGTAATTTCCACATCACAATAAAACTCATCATTAAAACAAAACTTATGCACACGCAAGGTGCTTCAGCGTCACCTTTGCAAGGCTACACAACAACCACTACGCCAGCAGATGTCACCCATGTGCTCAAAGAATGAAGCTTCAAGTAGTGAACCAATTTTCAATACAATGGTCCAAAAGGGTTCAAAGCTTCATGGGGCCTCGTATGGCCATCACGAACATCAAGTATCTAACCAATGTGTCCAACCATATATCTGACTAAAAATACCTAACATGCGGCTGAGGAGAACAGGATGACCAAGGGAGTAGACAGACTAACGGCAGAAAACCAGGAGAGGAGGACAACGAAGATGGATAAGTGAAAAAAATAAGAGGGTGGCAAATGACCAAAGAAAACAACAGCACAGGATCTGTCAGCATTGAATTCTAAGCACATATAACACAAAACAACAACCAACGTTCAAAATGTGATCCACAGCACAGGAACTATCAGCGTGGAAAACAAAAAGACGTTCAATACATACCACGAACACGGTTACGGGGTATGCATGTTAAGTAAGTTGAATAATGCTCCAGCAACAACAGAGCGTCTGACAGAGGTATAAATAAGGAGGACAGGTAATCATCGGGATGCACCCCAGCTGTGCGCACCGACAAACGAGTTGCTAATTACTGGAATGCAACACAGCTGAGGTGCAGAGCCCGCAGGATCAAGAGAGCAGAGGAGAGAAAAGTGGAAGAGAGGCAGGTCGTGCTGAGCAGACCTGACAAGCTGTTGGTAATATATCTATACTACCTGGCCATCAGGTGTTTCTTACTGTTCTTCTGAGGCTTCAAAAGGATGATGAAACACTTTGGAGCAAAAATACAGAACAATAAACCATAGCTAGAGGCCAGGATTGCAAAAATCTCTATGGCAACAGTGTACTTCCCAGGAGAGCTAACATAAGCAGGGACAAAGGCCACCCAAACTGCACAGAAAATCAGCATGCTGAAAGTGATCAGTTTGGCCTCATTGAAGTTGTCAGGGAGTTTTCGTGCAAGAAAGGCTAGTATGAGGCAGGTGCAGGCCAACAGACCAATGTACCCCAGAACCAGTGAGAAGCCCACCACGGAGGTCATACTTATTATGCAAAATAGCATAGTTTCCGCTGATGAATTAATATATACATCCCATGTTGTAGCTGGTAAAGGTGGTGCTAATGTTATATACCCTGGACTGTACTGATTAAATATACTTAGTTACTGTCCACCTCTGTTTCAGAGTGCTAAGGGTCAGTAGCACCTAGCTGGATGTGGTGACTCTGATAATGCTGTTTAATGAATATCCTGCCTACGCAATATGGCTTTGGCTGATACCTGGCCGAAAAAATATCTTACTTGGTAACTAACTGGACAGGAGACAGACTGACACTAAAATGTTACTTACCTGAAAAAAATATTAAAATATGAATAGGATTATTATACAGTAAATCAAATTAATACTAAGCTATGCCACAGTGAAAGCAAGAGGGAACAGCTTGACGTAAGGGGTTTAAGAGCCACTGCTTTAAATCAGTATTTGAGATAACACAGTAAAGCCGACATACTAAATAGAATTTACAGAAACCATGCAGTGTAGTATCTACCCTATTACTGTTGGTTCTCACCACAGGTGTTTGACGGTAGTAAAGAAACACCACAAACACAGCTGTTGTCACCATGGCGCCCGACACAGCTGTTGTAGTCAGGGTAATACCCAAAGCGTCATCAAAGGAAAGGAAGTCCAGCTGGCGAGGGATGCAGGCAGTTCGTTCAACATTGGACCAGAACTCAGGTGGACAGCGTTCACATTGAAGAGAATCTGGAAGAAAGATGGAGCATAACACAAAGGGAAAAATTAAGCATCACAAATATGAGTATCTCCTATCATATGGAATAATTTCCTCACCAGTTTTATTGCTAATCTCCCTTTCAGCACATGGGATACAGTCAAAGCAACAGACAGGTTCCCCTTTCCTGTTGGCCATTCGGGTACCTGGGGGGCAGCTCTCACTGCACACTGAAACAGGGATCTGCATAACATATAAAACCATATTATCAACATGTACAATGTCCTGTGAATCACAATAAATATTTAATTCAAAAGATATTTCAGTAGTAGATTCTTCTTTTTTGATGACCTGATTGGATCCTGTGCTCCATTGAATAGCTGACTCATTAAGGTGGATGTCAAACCCATCCACATGACCAATCAAAACAAGTTTCAGTGACCCCTCAGGGGTCTTCTGCCAGTTGACAAGGTCATACTTAGCTGGAATGTCTGCACCATGGAAATAAAATAGGTCCCCTTGTGGTGTGGTGACGTTCAAGTTGCTCAAGTATTGTAATAACTGAAAACATCAGAATAGTAAAACACTAAATGCTTCACACAGAGTAGATTAGCAGTATTAGTGCATGTGTTTGTATGTGACAAATGCAAAAGCAATCTCCTAGATATATACAAGCATAGGTTATGAAAGTCTACCATATCTCGTGTTGAAATTGTGTTTACCTCTATAGGTTTGATGTGTTTTGGAAAGTAGCATGTAGAGGTGTTCTTTTCAGGAGAGTTTTCTCTATGGGAGCAGGACAGAAGACTGTGAAGGGCGTGGGCTGCAGCATAAACAGCAAGGTAGACATTATATGTCACCCTTAACTGGGAGGTGTCAGTAAAGTGATTCTGCACTCCCTCCAGGGACTCAGTGCCATTGCAGAGAGGTAGAGAAGCTTCTTGAAGCAATGTGCTTGCAAGAGAAGGTGGTGAAGAGGCATTTGAAGATAAAGGTGTGGCTCCAGGACTACAACCAAACACCTTTTCCCAAAACTCTCTTAAAAACTTGTCATCAGGACGGTGAGATGGGTTGAGACTTCTGATATAATTTTCAAAGGCAGGTATAGTTGAACTTCTAATGGCAACACCAACAACACCACTTGCCACTTGACTTATGACAAGACTTTGGAGAAGAAGGTCACCACTGGTGCTCCAAGCC